GCACAAATGTCACGAGTATAAACATAAAAGAAAAGCTCATCCTAAAAAAATAATTTATTGGACGAGAGAACCCTTTTTAGAAAGAGCTGATCTTAAAAGATTATACACTTATAAATCACTTAACTTGTGAGACTTTCTAATGTCAAACCCAAAAATATAATATTTTATCCACTTTAAAATGCAGGCCTTTCATTTTTTTTTGGCTAGCGGCTTTTAAAATATTTAAATGTAAAATTTGAGAACGTTATGTAAAATAGCATACCACATTCATTTTTGGTGCTCATCACGTAATGAGCAATCTAGACCGTACAGATTTATCAATTTTATTTTTATATTTTAATATAGATTTATTAAAATGTAAATTATAAAATTTTAATAAATCTACTTCATCATCAATTTGGATAATACAAATTTAATATTGATAGTCTAATTCAATATTAATTTTTTAAATTTTTTTTATAAATTTACTATCCAGATGTACTCTAGATTCAGTCTATCTAAAGTATATTTGAATAGTCAATTCATAAAAATTTTTAAAAAATTAATATTAAATTGAACTATTCAAATTAGATTTATATTGTCCAAATCAATAATAAAGTAAATTTATTAAAATTTTATAATTTTTTATAATAAATCTTATAAAATCTGAATCATTTGGATTCAAATGCTCATTAGTTGATTAGCATTGAAACCTAAGTATAGCATACCAAGCCGAAGCATCACAATCAACCCTAATGATGCAAAGAACCTAACTGTTGAAAGTGAAAGGATCAAAGAACTTGGGCCTCTATGTGAAGAACCCATTAATTAGTTCGTACCTGGTTTTGTTTGGACCCAGAAACAAAATACATTTTAGATTTGAACAATTATAAAAATATTTTATTTTCACAGTATAATAAATTAAGATTTAAATCTCTGATGGCAGAAGTATATATATTTAGTGTCCAAAAGTTAATTCTAATAAGAAGATATTTGTATGTAATGAAAAAACTTTAAAAATATCATAACTTTATGAAGAATCGCTTAAGACTGCACTGATTCCCCCCCTCCCCACCGGGTTAACAAGGAGGGCTAAGCCCGATAGATTAAAAGTAGATTACACATGTTGATTGACTGATTCAGTCCAAATTTATAAATGATGGCAATTTGTGTCTTTTTGTGGAAAACAATGGCAAAAATTTAAATTTATGAATGTGACGCTTCATATTTGTTGGGCCTCAGTTTTTTTTTTTCAACCAACGGGCCTGAGTTAGAAGTTCTCATTAAGTTTTGTTTTTGTTTTTATTGTTTAACGCTTTTTAATGGACAGGACGTGATTGAAGTGAACAATAACAAGAGCCATCCTATTGTGTTGGGGGGACAATCATCAAAGAGAGAAATTTATTCAGGCTACCCAAATAAAATTGAATAAATTTGGACTAAGTCCAAATTTAAATGAACTTAACTCAAATATTTAAATTATTTTTTTATTATTATTAAAATAAGATAGAATTTGAAAATATTAATTTGTAAACAAAAATTGAAATTATATAAAAAAATTAAAAATAAATTAAAATAATATTTAATAATTTGGATGTTTGGGCTAGTATGGATAAACTTAAAAGCTTGAGGAGCTAGAGTCGAGTTTGACTGTATGAATTTTTTTTATGTTCAAGTATTTTAAATATAATCTGAATAAATTTGGTTTAAATTGAGGTTGACTCAAGTAAGTTTAGCTCTACCTTCAAAACAATTCTAAGAGGTTAGTTAATAGAACACATTATTACACACTTTTTTATATCAATTAGAACCATTATTAAGGCTTTATTATCTCAAAATGCACACACATTACATTAGAATTATAAATTTGCCTAAATGTTTAGGTTTTGTGCACTAAAGGTATTTTGATTTAAAAATAAACTTTTAAAAAAATGTATAAAAAAAATTGACAAAATATATTTTAAGTGCAGAAGAAGAGTGATCAGATTAAATTTTATAAATTCATTTTAGTTTGAGAATAATTAAATAAAAAGTCAATACTTTTTCAGGTGTACTAATTTGACCTAGTTTTGGGTTTGCATTCGTATGACAATTTTTATATTATTTTGTGCACTTAAGAACTTGAATACTTTAATAAATTTTCCTTTCTAAATATGAATTTAATTATTCACTTTAATTAAATTTGACGATGTCATATGTTATTTAATTGAAGTATATGATTTTGGTGACATGTGACATGTGACCTGTACATTAATTAGGCAAATGAGGTCAAAGCTCCAAGGGGTCAAAGGCTGATGCCAACAAACGTTTTTACTTTTGATTAAGTGGACTGGATTAGCTTAAAATGTGAATGTATATGGGATTAATTTGACACACATTGAAATTATCTACAAGCCAATAGAAGAGTGCCACTTAGTAAGTGTAACATGATCTCAAAATGCCTTTTAATTTTGGTTTTTCTTATTTTAATCAAGGATTAGCTGAAGGGAAACAAAATTCACGCCACACACACTCGTAATTCACATTCAAACACACATTTCATTCATCTATTCCTCTCTCTCTCTCTCTCTCTCTCTCGTTCATTTTGTTTTTCATTTTCTCTACCTTTTCTATACTTTCTTCACTTTTTCAGCACTTATGTCTCCACTTCCAGCCATCAAGCTTCAAAAATTCTTCCACCATTCTTCTCCTCCCCCTTGGCTAACCCCACCCCTCACCGTTGCAAAGAGATTTGAAGCCTAATCCATCAATGGACACTCCATACCTCACAGCCTCTCAGTGTTCTTGGAGGAGCAAGGTGTTCTTGATATTTTTTAGCTAAATTCTCTATGAAATTTTAGGAAAGAGTTGATGGAAAATGAGCATTGAAGTATTCATTTGGCTAAACTCAACTCATTCTTCATCTTATTTTAATTTTATTATAATACTATGACCATGCTTAATTGTAGTTCAATTTAACTTTAGTTTCATAGTTGGTTGTAAATATTTGTGTTGAAATAAGATTGTTGACTTAAATTTCACTTCCTTTTTTTGCTAGAAATTTTGGCCACCATATGAATTTGCATTACAATATACGACTTCAAATGGTGAATGTCTTGTATTGATCTAGTATGTAATTATTTAATAAATGTTTGATGAATTGCTTAAGTTTCATAGTTTTGAACTTGAGTGACCCTCAGGTCGTGGCATTAGAGAGTGAATTTTGACTGAGCACTTGATTAGTTATTGAGCTAAGTTAGTGAGGCCATTTAAAGGGTTTATGATCAGCACTTAGATAATTCAATTAGTGAAGCTAGGTTGTTTGAGATAGTTGTTTTGAATAAACATTTTTTTAGTCAAGGAAGAGAAGTTGAGTGAGTTGCCATAATTAATTAGAGGTTAGGATTCTTTCATTAATAACACTCAAGGGTTCCTACTTGAAAAAAGAAGTCCACTCCATTTACCATAGATAGCATTTTTAATTACTTGTCAATTAGGTAACTAGATAGGTAATTAAATAACCAAACTTTCACAACATTGAGTGTTTTATTTCATTAGATAATTTGTTTGTTAAATTAAAACCATTCATAGGGCGATGATCTAAGTTAGCCTTAAATTACACTAGTTAGTATTAATTTAATTTTATTTTGAGGACGACAAACCGCGGTCAAAATTAGAATTAGCAGCTCTAACCTTGAGGAAACGGAGAAGAAACACGGCAATTTCAATTCCGTATGGGTTTATTTCATTGAAGGTTTACAATTGTCAGATGTTAATCAAATGATGCTGCCATGCATGCCTAATGCATTGACAATCATGGCCATGCAACTGACAATTTGCATAATTGATTTATACGTCTTTAGCAATGTTCCTCCACCAACCAGGCTTCCCACAGTCAGTTTGATCCGAGCTTTTCAATAGCAACTTCAAATATCCAGACGGTTGGTGGGTTTATCGAACCAGCAAAACCGAACCCAAGTTGGCGTTCGTTAAATTGACGGGAAAACCTTCGGTGCAGTTACAACACGCCACGCGTTGCCATCGCCAAGCAGCACAGTAAGACTAAATTAGGGAATGAAGGGAGCTACGTCCTTTCCCCTTCTTCAAGATGGCCAGAGCTGGACAACACCATAAGAGCATCATTATAGCCGACAAAACTCATTAGTTTAGATTAAAAATAAACATATTCAATCAATCATGAGAAAATATTACATTACTTCTTATGCAGTTGATTTTTTCTTCAAAAAAAAAAAAATAAAAAGCTTCCAAGTCAAATGTTCCCAAGTTCTATATGCAAGTCACCGGAGGAATTAATAATTTTTTATAAGTCATTTTGTACAAAAGAGATACATACTTTCTTTCAATTTTACTCTTAACAATTTCATCCTCTAACAATCTAGCAATCAAGTTGGGAGGATGGGTGTATGGTTCGAAAATTTTAAAGCATTTCCAAAATACATGTGAGGCTGTGGAGGGTTGTTATCGGGTGCTTGGAGTAACTGAGAATACTTGATTTTAGTCATCTGAAATCTGGAAGCTCAGAAGCTAGTCATCCTAAATTATTGAAAGCAGAGGAAGACGCTGCGAAATATCGGGGGAGGCAGGGCCCAAATGGAACACGCAACCCTCCTGCAGTACACACGTGGCGGCCAAGAAGCGCCCAAGTAAATGTACATTCTTGTGCCCCACGAGGGACTAATCAACAAAAGTTATAAAAGTACGGAAAGCAACAGCTGACAAGCCACGTAAACACCCCTTCTCCTCCACATTATACCAACCGGCCCCACTCTCCTGGCTACCACCGTATCTCTTACCCACTCCAAAATCTCTCCCCTCTTCATCCCCCCTACACGTATTACTCCCTCTCATCTCAGCCGTCCACGTCCTTCTCCCTAATATCCCCCACTCTGGTCTTCCCCCCTCCCATGTGTCCCCAGATCCCCTCCCTGCTCCTCCATCCGACGGCCCTCATTCCTCGCCTTGATCTCTCTCTCTCTCTCTCCTCCTTCTTTGATTGCCCCACTTTAAATTTCGCTGTAGGCCACTGGCTCTTTTCCTTCACCCCCCACTTGCACCCATTATGAAGAAGCTCAAGCGTCACCCGCCGTCTCCCACAGCGGATCTCCGGCAATTGGACGCTGATTCCAAATATCTGTGCCCTGACACTCTTGTGAAATTGAAGAATGCTCGGCTGAGAAGACTTAAAATTCAGCGATTGAAGTTGAAGTATACTTGCGAAGCCAAAATCTATGTCGCCCCCGTTGATCGTCAGGAGGAGGGGACCGAGTTTGCGGAGTTGGAAAATAAAGATAGGAACATTGATGAGTCGATGCGGATATCATTGTCGCTAACGACGTCGTCGAAGGAGGATGATCGTTCGACTCTGGCGCCAAACAACGACGTCCTGGATGCTTTCAGAAGTGAGAAATACCGAGAGGATGGCTTTGATGCGGAGGATCTATCTTACGGTTCGGTGTCCTTGATAGGTCGTAGGAAAGAGATGGAAGATGCGGTGAGCGTGGAGGTGGGGTTTGTGGCGAAGGAGAGAATCAAGTGTGACTTCTTCGCAGTCTATGATGGCCACGGTGGGGCCCAGGTGGCGAGAGCGTGCCGAGAGCGGTTGTACCGACTGGTGGCGGAGGAGCTGGAAAGGCGTGGAAGAAACGGCGGTGAAGTGGATTGGGAGGGAATGATGGAAGGGTGTTTTGGCAAAATGGATAAGGAATTTGCGGACAATGCGGCGGTACGGACGGTGGGATCTACGGCAGTCGTGGCCGTGGTGGCAAAGGATGAGGTGGTTGTGGCCAATTGCGGTGACTGTAGGGCGGTGATGGGAAGAGGAGGCGAGGCTGTCGCCTTGTCTGATGATCACAAGGTACCATGCATAAGCTTTATTTCTCAGTCGCTGGAAAACACTTGAATTGGCGGTGTGAGCTTGCATGCTGATATTTTATATATATGGGCTTCACAAGTGACCAGAGAAACAAGTTATTTTAATTTTTTTTAGGATCTTTCTATTATAGCTTGAATTACTGTAATTCACCGAGGAGTTATTTGTGAATTCACAGCCTGACAGACCTGACGAGTTGATGCGAATAGAAGCCGCTGGCGGAAGGGTCATAAACTGGAACGGCCAACGCGTTCTAGGAGTTCTTGCCACCTCCAGGTCTATAGGTTAGTGTGACCTTTTATTTGATTAGTTAATTCATGATATATATTGAGGTAAAGTAGCACTTTTCGAAAATAATATAACATTTTGAATCCGAATGTTCTTTGGTTGTGTATTTTGTATTAGCATTGTCGAAATTTAATAGAGTCAAGAAAGTAAAGTGAGAAAATAATAGTCAAAAGGATTATCTATGTTTCATACGCATCTACATTAACTCCGCCTATGTTTATAGCCGGTCCCAAGCCCGGGTAAAGGAGGAGGGTTGTGTTAGGCCATCAACAGCCAATGTAAAAATTTGTTGAATCTATCATGAACATGGACAATAGACGTTATAATGTTAATGCTAGGTCGTTGCCCGTAAGTAACGCGCTGCATGGCTCGAGTACAGTGATAAGTGAGTTAGAGCCGCTGCATCGGCGCCCGGATGTAGTGTTAAATGAGCAAGGGCTACCGCGTCATTCTGGACGCACGCGGCTAAAGAAGTTAGTCCATAAGAGCAAAATTAGATTTGGTACTTGGAATGTTGGGACATTAAATTGTAAATCTGTAGAGGTTGTAGGGGTTATGATTCAAAGGAAAATCAATATCCTTTGCTTGCAAGAAACAAAATGGCGTGGAGAAGAAGCTAAGGATATTCAAGGTTTCAAACTTTGGTATACAGGAAAAGTAAGTGCACGCAATGGAGTAGGCATCATTATAGATAAGGAGTGGAAGAAGAACGTTGTAGAAGTTAGCAGAATTGGAGACAGAATTATTTCTTTAAAAATGATAATTGGACGTGAGACTGTTAATATTGTTAGCGCTTATGCGCCGCAAGTCGGGATAGAAGCCAGTCTTAAGGAATTATTTTGGGAGGATCTGGAGGGGTTGATTCGACACATACCACAGAGTGAAAAGATTTTTATTGGAGGAGACTTTAATGGGCATGTCGGGAGGGAAGCTGGTCAGTATGCGAGGGTGCATGGTGGTTTTGGTTTTGGAGAGCTAAACAATGAAGGGCAAACTCTTCTTGATTTCTCATTGGCGTATGATTTTAAGATTGCCAACACTTGTTTCAAGAAGAGAGATGAGCATCTCATCACCTACAAAAGTGGAGCCTCAAGGTCGCAGATTGATTTTCTTTTGGTTAGGAACACAGATAGAAAACTTTGTAAAAATTGTAAGGTGATCCCTGGAGATGCTGTAACGACACAACATAGGGTCCTAGTCCTTGATGTGTGTATTATGAGTAAAATCCAAAAACGTCGACAAGTAGTAACACCAAGGATTAGGTGGTGGCAATTAAAAGGTGAGAAGCAAGATATTTTCAAGCGAAATCTTTTGGATAAAGGAATTTGGGATTCTCAGGGAAGTGCTAACATCATATGGGAGGATATGGCTAAAAAGATACGGGAGGTTGCAAAAGTAGTTTTGGGAGAATCGAAAGGTCCTGGTCCGAGAGATAAGGAGTCTTGGTGGTGGAATAATAGTGTACAGGACAAAATCAAGTATAAGAAGAACTGTTTTAAAGCCATACATTTGTGTAACAATGAGGAAAATTGGGAGAGGTACCGTATGGCTAAGAAGGAAACTAAGAGAGCTGTGGGTGAAGCTCGTTCTAAAGCTTTTGAAGAATTTTATAAGAACCTTGAGACGAAGGAAGGAGAGCAAAATATTTATAAGATTGCCAAGAGTAGGGAAAGAAAATCAAGAGATCTAGAACAGGTAAGGTGTATTAAGGATGAAGAGGGAAGAATTTTAGTTACAGATGATGAAATTAAAAATAGATGGGAGACTTATTTTTCTAAACTTTTCAATGATGGAGAGGATTCATCTAGTAACTTGGAGGATTTAGTAACTGGTGAAGGAGAACAAAATTTGTCATTCTATCGAAAAATACGTGATAAGGAGGTAAAGGAAGCTCTTAAGAAAATGGCAAATGGTAGAGCTAACGGACCTGATTGTATATCTATCGAAGCGTGGAAATGTTTAGGTGAAGAAGGGGTGAGATGGTTAACTAAGTTATTTAATGTGATTTTACGGTCCAAGAAAATGCCTGATGAGTGGAGGAGAAGTACATTAATTCCTATTTATAAAAATAAAGGAGATATTCAGAATTGTACTAACTATAGAGGGATTAAACTCATGAGCCACACAATGAAATTGTGGGAGAAAGTAATTGAGCACAGGTTGAGATTGGAGACAAGTATTTCTGAGAATCAATTTGGTTTTATGCCAGGTAGATCAACTACAGAGGCGATTTATCTACTAAGGGGATTAATGGAAAAGTATCGTTGTAAAAATAAAGATCTACACATGGTTTTTATTGATTTGGAAAAAACTTATGACCGTATACCAAGAGAAGTGCTTTGGAAAGCGTTGGAAAAAAAGGGAGTACGGATTGCTTATATTAAAGCCATACAAGATATGTATGAGGGGGTAAAAACTAGTATAAGAACGCCTAGTGGTCAAACAAAGGATTTTCCTATAAAGATTGGGCTACATCAGGGATCATCTCTGAGTCCTTATTTGTTCAACTTGATTTTAAATGTTTTGACGGAACATATTCAAGAGGAAATCCCGAAATGTATGCTCTTCGCGGATGATATAGTTCTTATAGCAGAGACAAGAGAAGAGGTTAATTGCAAACTTGAGTTATGGAGGAGGACATTGGAGTCGAAAGGTTTTCGTCTGAGTAGAAGTAAGACGGAATATTTATATTGTAAATTTGATAAAGGACTATTCGAAAATAATTTGGAAGTGAAATTGGGAGATCAAATTATACCTCAAGTGGAAAAGTTTAGATATTTGGGAGCCATTATCCAAAATGATGGCGAAATCAGTGGAGATATTTCACATAGAATTCAAGCTGGGTGGTTTAATTGGAGAAAAGCTAAAGGAGTTATTTGTGACCGTAAGGTGCCTAATAAACTTAAAGGAAAGTTTTATCGTACTGCTATCAGACCGACAATGTTATATAGTAGTGAATGTTGGGCTCTAACGGGACAGCAAGAGCATAAAGTTGGAGTAGCAGAGATGAGAATGTTACGATGGATGTGCGGACATACACGTAAAGATAAAATTCGAAATGAGCACATACGTGAAAAAGTGAGGGTGGCACCTATTGAGGAAAAAATGGTAGAAAATCGGTTGAGATGGTTTGGGCATGTACAAAGAAGACTAAGGGAGGCACCAGTGAGAAGAGTGGAACATATAACTTTGAGTCCGATTAAGAGAGGTAGAGGAAGGCCTAAGAGAACACTCTTGGAAGTTGTTGAACGTGATCTCTTAATTAATAATATTTCTAAAAGCTTAATAAATGATAGAGCACAATGGCGTCTTGCAATCCATGTAGCCGACCCCACCTAGTGGGATAAAGGCTTGTTGTTGTTGTTGTTGTTTAATTTCACCCTGCTTCTGAATTATATAAAAAATTGACATTTACAGTATAGTAAATTAGTGAAGTAATAATTTTGGAGATCTATTTAAATTCATAAAAGCAAGGAAAGTGGAATTTAGGTTTTATTTTTTTTGAGGGAAATCATGAAAGCGTGTAAATTTGAGAAATGAGAGATTTAAAGATCTTGGGCACTCTCCCTTTAGCGTTTGCGCTCATTCATTCAACCAGTGGTAATGACCTACCATTGCTTCGATGGCACTGCCATTATATATGGTATTATAACGGACTTGCTAAGGTAGTTGTGTTTTACGTCTTAGCAAATCGATAATTTAAGTGGTAGGTTATCTTGTGACGCGAGAGTAGAATTGTCTCTCCCGCGAGCACGTGGAAATGTCCATGCCAAATTCCGTGACATATGCATGCTTTTGACTCTTTAGTCTGTGCAATTATCAGCTAACTGCGGGCAGCCACATGTCCAGTTCTTTTTAATATCACTATTTTTAATTTTAATTTTAATGTAGCCACACAATCACTGTGTCAGAGATCATTTTTATGTATTCCTGCCCATATTCCCCCCAGACCTCCCTCGATGCGCTGACGGTTTCAAGTGATGCAGGAGACCAATACCTTCGACCTTACGTAATATCGAAACCAGAGGTGACGGTGACTAAGCGAACTAATGAGGATGAGTTTCTTATACTGGCGAGTGATGGCTTGTGGGACGTCATCTCCAGTGAAGCTGCGTGTGAGGTTGTAAGGAAGTGTCTAAGTGGCCAGGCCAGGCGGAATTCGCCGGAGCTTGAAAATCAAAGCCTCGCGAGTGAGGCTGCAGCTCTGTTAGCTGAACTGGCAATGGCAAAAGGAAGCGGAGATAACACAAGTGTGATCGTGGTTGAGCTCAGTAACCATAATAAATTCACTTCTCCTTGGTGCCAAATTAATTAATCTGTATGCTTTGTGCGCGTATTCTTTTCTTTATATGTAAAACCTGAACATAGTGTTATTCCTTGTTCTCTTTTTGCTTCTTGCCAATGCATTGCTGCAGCAGTTAGGTTCTCTTTCTTCCCCACTTTTCGAGAGACATGTTGCAAAATGTTGGATCAGAGGTCATGTCCGTGAGGGATGAGCTTTTACTTTATTGAGTTCTTCTGGGAATCCATCGAATTCCCGACTCTATCTCTATGCTTCTGTTTGATCTGTGCACTGTTTTTGACTACTCTGCATGCTAATCATGCTTCTCGGATTGCTACCTCCATTCTTGAGTCGTCTGATTTGGGGCTATTGCTTTGTAAAAGATATGATGAATGAGCTCGACATAATCATCGGAATTATGATTGGAGAGGCGTGTCATTCCAATTTTGGAAGGAGAATCTGGACGCTTCCCTTCGCGTTTTCTGGACAACATTGCGGATGCGGGCACATGGGGTGCCCCTGACTTGACGCCTTTTGGGCTTATTTGTCCATTTGAGGGACTTAACTTACCCAGTCTGTGGGGACGTTATGTGGCCACTCCACATAAATAATGAAAATTCTGACATCATCAATTTGAGTTTTACCCCTCGTTGTGAAGAAGCAGCGTTTGGCATCTTTTCTATCTGTAAATTTAACTTTAGATTTTTTTATGACATCATTCTAGTGGGAAAACAATAAAATGAATTAAACGGTGAAAATGCTAGTTTTTTTTAAATCCGCTTCGTTCCATTCTTTTTGTCAAGTTAGGTATGCCCTTGTGCGATGCATTGAGACATGTTAGCGTTGCTGACGTTTTTTTTTTTTTGAACAAATGTTACTGTAGGATAAACAGCAATAAAGGATCATATTTTACAAAAGAAAAGACAAGATGAACCTTGAATTCTCTTGAAAGGGTTAAACAATGTTGATAAATCGAGGGAAAGGAACTGTTGTTATGTAATTAAGGGATCTGAGTTTCAAATTTTGGAGCCGGACATGATAACAGGCCACTTCGTTCAGCGGGCCAGCCCAGCCTTCCCCGCAAAATATCAGCAGGGCAAGCTTGGCAATGGCAGATAAGTTTAACTAAAAACATAGAGAACCTTCAACGATGGCATTTCTATTTTCCAGCGACTTCTTTAGGAGACGACATGAGCTGAACCGTTGCGTTTAGCAATAGTCCTGTGAGAAAGCAGCCAAGCATCTTGGACTGAGGACCGTCCACCGTGTATTGGCCTTTTGGGGTATTAGATCCCCTTTTAAATAAAATAGATAGGTCGGGTATCATCATTATCTTATAACATTAAAATCAATTCCTTATTATTCCACAATAACGATGCCTCTCTGTATAATACTAGTACTAGTAATCATAATCTCATGATATCCCCAGATTCTCCACTATCTGAGATTTATTATTAGTGTTACTATTACTTCTCGATACTGTCTCTTTCCAACTGGGATGCCCAACCAATCACACGGTCGGATTTCTTTTTTGCGTTTGACAGCTAAAGACAATCTTCAGCTGGTCGTAAAAGATATATCGCGAATACCTTTTTCTAATTAACTTTTTTTTTTGGCCAGGTTAATTAATTTAATTGAGTTAAACTATTGTAACATTATACTGGCATTTTTCTTTTCTGAGAATGGTTACGTTCGCGCATAAAGGGAGCCTCCCTAACACTTCAGAGATGTGCTTGTTGAGCTAAAATCACAACCAGCTTCTTTTTCTCTCTCCAGATTTTATATAATTATCGAGTAAATGTATAGCTAGTTATTGACAATATTATTCATCGCAGGCTCTTCGTCACATTCCATACATATTCACGCATTTAATTAGTTACCCGCATTGGCAATCAGTGAATCTTATTTTTAATACTGATGTAATATCATCAGTTAGCGACACGCAAAGAAGACATATTTCTTTTGTTCTCACATGCTACCGAGCATTATGGCATTGCTAATTAATTCACAGTAAACTAATAGCTTGTCTGTACATATTCACTGCTCTTCGAGAGATATGAAATATCTTGTCTAACAGTTTTACAAATGCATATTCTTTCGGTTTTAAAATGAATTAAATGACAAATTTACTCTAAAATCTAAAATAATATTTTTTTGTGCAATCTTTCCGACAAACATTTCAAAATAATGTACTCCCTCCATTAAAAAATGTAGGGTATTTTTAATTAAATCTCACCTCAATAAAGTAATTACTTACTTTCAAACTAACCTTATCTTTCTACATTTATCCCTATTAAACACCCTACAATGAATATAAAGTCATTCATCAATAGGGACACTCTTAGAAAAAAAGATAATAATTACATCTTAAAAGATTAAAAATGCCTTACATTTTTAAACATATAATTCTTCAAAAAATACCTTACATTTTTTAAATTAGATACCTTGATTAGCTTTAATTTTTTTATATGGCACTTATTTATAATTTTCTTGGCTTTTTTATATTTCTAGATCATTTTTTAATAATTTTTTGTCAATTAATTATCAAAGTAAATATTTCTTAATAGTAGTCATAACATTCTATTATTTTGAAATGCTAGAGAAGTATATTACACTAACAACCAGTTTAAAGTCTCCACTGTTCTTGAATAATGGTTTACTTTTTAAAAATTACATTGAAAATTGAAATTTAAATATTTTATAATAACCATGTCTGGTTTGTAATCATGAAATTATATACCTCTACCTTTTTTTTTTTTTTTTAAGATGACCCAAGGCCACTAGTTATGCCGATGGCAATGTCCCCTAAAAAAAATTCCTTTCATACTTGTGCGGGTGTCTCCTTTCTAGGAAAAGGATTGGGTTAATGGTAAAATATTAAAAAAAAAAAAAACCGGGGGCAGCGATGGTCATGAGTCATGACAATTGACAAGTCAAGGAAGGAATCAACAAAAAGTAACATCAAAATCACAACGTGGAAATACCAACAAGTGACAACGACAGTATGAGGGCAAAAAAGTAAATATATACTAATTGCGCGCCACAAATGCTGATGTGATGACCCTGAGAGAAAATGTATGATGGTAGGTGGGAGGGGCTTTCATGTTTGACAGATTACAAATGCTTTTTAATATGCATTAAATATTATTGACATCAGTTTAAATCTTAAAGTCTGATAACTCATTGCTTAATTAAACGTGGATGTGTTACCCTGGTCTGATTTCAAACATACGAGGAGGTAAACAAAACACAAACATGTCTGATTCTAATACGATCCTCAATTAAAATAAAATTATTAACGCATGACAATGAAAAAAACGCTACATGAAATCGCACTGTTCACACACCATGGGTTACATGGGTATGAGTACAACTGTAACTATAAAGATGGTTGACTCCAGGCAGCCTCCAGTTTATTTTGAACCAGTATTAATATAAAATATAGAATTTTTATTTTTTTTATTTCTCCCTCATATTTTATGAGAGATTATACAATATTCTAATTAAGATATTACTAGTATCTTTTTTTTTTAGGGGGGGAGAGATATTACTTTTACTCTTTTATATGTACGAACAAAAATTATATAATTAAAATCTGCATTAAGAGAGAAAGACGCAACGATAAACACGTTCTGGATCAGTGGATCAGGTGGTTGTCGAGATTCGAGAGTACTGTGTTACTGGGTCAGCCAAATAGGACGATCTCTCTGTGTGCGCTTTTTTAAAACTGGTAAATATTTTTCCTCTTGGCCATAACTCTTAAATGAGTTTTGAAAAGATTGCTACCAAAAATCTTATCATGAATTTAGAGTTTGTTTGGTTTTTTTTCGTTTTATATTCAAAAAGTAAAATTTTATTTTTAAAAAGTTGAAAGTTATTTGGATAAAATATTTTACAGAAAATCACATCTTAAAAATACATTCAAACAGTAGTTAAAAGTGGATTTTTGAAATGTAATTATTTGAAGCTTTTAAAAAGTGAATTTAAAAAGTAAGATGTTATTTGACTATACTACTCCAAGTTTAATCTCTTATTCTTTTATTTAAAAAATAGTTAATTCATTAAAAATATAATTATTATTTTAATAATAATAATTAGGTATCAATTTTTTTAGTATTATAAATTGAGTAATTAATCATGTTAATTTTTAGCATTAATGTATAATAAAAATTATAAATATTTATTACATCTTTTAAAATTACAAATTAAAAAATACAAATAACTAGAGATCAAATTTTTAGCATTATAGATCAAATATATATTATTAAAAATATTTATTATATTTTTTTAAATATTTTAATATATTATATTTGTATGATAAAAATTATAAATCATTATAAATTAATATCTTTTTTGGTAATTATACATTCAAAAGCACATTTTACTATCATAAATCAAATAACTTTCAATGTATCAAACTGATTTTTAAAAAAATATATCCAAACATAAATTTCGTTACAATAAATAACTTTTACCAAATGGACTTTTATCAAATGAACTTTTGACAAATTAAAAATTAAACGCACACTTAATTGTGGAGAAACCTAAAAACTTTTCTAACATGAAGTCCTTTGTTGGTATAAAATGAGACAAACAAAAGATTAAATTGCTCTTCTTCCCCCACAACACCGATTGCCGCTCTTCCTTCCTCAATCTTGTGAATTGATGCTCCCTCACTTTCAAGACCAAAACCTTTAAGTTTGTCACCAATAAACATCACACCACCATGAAAATTATATTCACCATAATCTTCCCAGAAAATTACTTCACTTATTATTATAATTTACAACCTTTTTTTTATATAATTTCATCATCATTATTGTTATTATTTAACTTTTTTATTTATTTTTCTTATATCTTAAAAAATTTGTATATATTATCACAGATTAATATGCAATTTGAATCCTAAATTATAAGTTCAAGAGCGATTTAAACCCTAAACTTTTTAAAATATATATTTTAAACTCTAAATAATTAAAGTTGGGACAATGTCGTCCCTACCATTAACTTTCAACAAACATTCATTAAATTTTAATTTGAAAATTTATAGTATAAATAAAAAGTATTTTATTTGAACTATAGTTCAAAGTCTAAATTTCATATTAATCTTAAATAAAAATTATTTTTGAAAATTCATATTTTTATTTTGAAAAATAAGATTTTAAGTTTATTTAATAAGTTTTACATATTATAAATTCAGGGGGGAGATTAATAAATTGTAGCACAAGACAATTCATTATTATTTATAATTTAAATATACACAA